TCCACCTCAGCTCAGAGAAGTGTGCCGATCATGGTCTCCAGTTCTTGGCTTTCCACAGAATGGGATGTGTAGTTTATAAAGATGCTTGCTGCTGAGCTAGGCCACCACCCTTAGCTCCAGGTTACCAGCAATGCCTTCCTGGGGTTTGCTATTTCTGAGAAAAACATTCCTTTACGCTGCCAATCTGTGCCACTTCAAGCCCATCTTTTGTGGTATATACATGTGCAAAGTCTACAGAAGGAGAACAGTGGGGCCCAGAACAGGGGTCTGAGCAATGCCAATAGCACTGAACCTTTCTGGAAGTTTAATACTCAAGTTGCATGAAGTTCAAAGGCCTTTTGTCATAGAGTCTCTTCATTCTTCCCCAACTGAGAGTGAAGAAAACAGAAAAAATGGCTTGTGCCCTGGGGTGAACTGCAGTAAGGAGAACCCAGGTGAAGGGCTGGGTAGCTCCCTCAGGGCCTTCTTAGGGCTATCAGAACCATGCCCTGGATGCAGAAATGTCCTTTTAGCAGCAAAGCTGAGGGCTCTCTCCCCTTCCATGGTCACTGCAGGTGGCTGCTTCTGTCCTGTGCCTGCTGGAGGCCCACCTGGCCAGTCTTTTTCAAAGCTGTCTTCCTTATGGGTGATCTGGATGATTCCCAACTCTGCCAATGCCCTGGAGGAGCTCCATGGCTACCAGGGGTCTCCTGACCCCAACCTCCACCTCCCTCCACCAAGCTCCAAGAGGCTGGTGTGAACTGAGAACGTGGTACACCAGAGCGCTGAAGGGCCAGTCAGAGACAGGGTGTCTGCAAGAAAAAGTCACCCAAGGCACAGGCTCAGGGGCTCCTGCATGTTTTGCTTTTCCTGCTGCTTCGTAGGACAGCTCCATGCTGCAAATGCAAGGATCTTGCTTTCAGCCCACTTCTTCCAGTCCTTTTCCTATTGTTATAATACTTAAAATCTATAAGGCATTTTCCCAGTACTTCAGCAGGGACCTGAAGCACATCCAGGGTTAATACATGCTCATCCTTTTTCCCATGGGTCAACAAGAAGGTTGTGGAAGCTTTGGAATGCCATATCCACAAGGCCAAAACAGAAGCCCAAACTCCACGCATCTTTGAAACAAGTGCCCTTCTCAGGACGTGGCAGGGAAGGCACTTGAATTAAGCTGTGTCAGAACAGTCACCTCTGTGATAACGGTCCCTTACTCCTACCTCCCCACCTCCCTTAGAGTGGGAGAAGACAGTCTGACCACATTAAATTCCATCCCGGGGCACTGATGCTGCAGATCAAGAGCTGGTCATGTGCCTTTCTTGAATAGGGAAATTACCCTCAGTGGTTTTTCTAAGTCTGTTGCCTTCAGTTGTTCCTTCTGTCTGTACCTTACATGTCAATACCTCATGTCACTGGACAATTCCAGACCTACTGTGGCTGCCATCATCCAAACTGAGGATATACCTCCAACGAGCATGAGTGTGGATGCCTTGTGTATTTATGTCTGTGTGGGGTGGGGAGAGGGGATTACGAGAGGCCCTCGAAGGATGGTGACTGCATGGAGACTACTTTGGTAGGGCTGTGTGGTGTGTCATTTGAAGCATGACTTCCTAAGAATTCTGATGAGGAAGGGCTGCACCCTGACTACTATCTCCTCAGAAATCTCTGAGATCAGTGCTGCATCTCTTTGTGTCCCTTTAGTGGCCCTGGCAGCCCCAGATCCAAAGTGTCCCCCTGAGGACTCTTTCTGTGTCCCACACAATCACTGAGGTTGAAAACCTGGCTTCTACTTCCACCAGCTGGCTCCTCTCTTGCTTTCCTTACTTTTTCTCAGTGGGATCTGGGGACTATCAAATGCCTTTGCCTTGGCCACTGAGGCAGGTCCCAGCACACTAGGCACTGCAGTGCCTATCTGCCCTCTTCCCCCCTACGCAGCTTGTTCTCTTTCCAGAGACTGGAGCCTGGCCCTCCATGAGCAAAATCTCCCCTGTCCAGGAAGTGCAACCCGTCTCTCACCAATGGCGCCCTCAGCCCCATAGCTTTTGCCCTGCTCCTGCTTCTCCTGCAGGCCTTTCCTTCAGGCCTGCCAGGGGCTACACTGCCATCCTCTCCATCTGTGCCCTGGGGACCCCTCTTCTGGTTGTGCATGGGTCAGTTTTCTAGAACAGCTAAAACTTTTATTTTCATCATGAAAATTGAACCCAGGGGCTCATGCATGCTAACGAACTGATCTACCACTGAGCCACACTCCCAGTCACCTGTGGGCCTCCCCCTGCAAGTATATGTGTTGGCACACAGTGAGAACTTAATAAAGGTATGTGGGCAAAACAAACTTTACAGTTCTACCCTTCCTTTTAAATGTCACATCCTTAAGTTCAGCATTTTTGTTTCTTGACATTTATGAGCAGCAACCACCTGTCCTGATGACTCTTGATATGAACCACTGCCCAAATAGTAAAAGCCAACAGCAAGACAATACATGGATTTTTCTTTAAATAAAACCTGTGTCATTTAGCATATAGATAAATGAGCACATTGGGTGTAAGAGGTAATGAAAATGACAGAAGGGCTTAGAAAGCCCACGGGACATGTCAAGTTAGTAAAATTCACTAATCTTTTTAACAGCTTTCCCATCACATCTTTTGGCAGCTGGGGCTGTTGCCACATCAGGGCAGCTCGGAAGTGCAGTCTCAGCCACATGGTCCAACAGTTGTTCAGGAAGGTGCCACAAGGGTGTCCCTCCAAACCAGTCCCACAGCCCAGGACAGGAGGTAGGAGATGGAGTCCAGATTCAAAAGGAAGTCTCCCAGGACCTGTAGGGAGTTTTTAACTGTTGGGTGGGGCAGCCTGTTTTCCAGAGACGGGAGCAGAGGCAGAGGCCCTGGGGGGATATATTCAGCAGCAGCAGGGACCTCAGGCTTGCACTTCCAGGTCAGTCACCTCTCCTCTCTGCCTTCAGTAACAAGAAGGGAGGCAGCTAAAAGCAGCTCCTCCTGTAGGGTGGTAAAGGTCCCCAAAGCTTAAGCTTTGCATTTTTATTGTTACAGCCCAATTCCTGGCTGATGCTCTGGCTGCTCCAGACCCTGCTCCACATGCATCCTATGGCATATGACAATACTTCTGTACCTACCTCTGCCTGGGGACCTGCGATGGAGGTGGAGCAGGAGAAAGAAGCTAGAGACAGGCCCAGCTCAGAGGGGTCCACCCTGAAGGCACAGAGGGTTGTGGTGTAAACAGCTTACTCTTCGGCCCTTTAATTTCTTCAAACAGTCCTCTCTGCCCCCCCACCCACCCCACCCAAATGCTTAGTATGCATTTCCTGACTAATACCAACTGAGATACTCACGTGTTACCAAAGAAACCACTCTCTGTGCCCCAAGTGTGCCTGCCGTGGTCAACACTCTGATCCCTGAGCTGCTCATACTGTCGCCGCTGACAAGTGTGACCTCACAAGGCTGGCACAGTGAGCAGCCTCACCATTCTGGCTCTGTGCTGGGGTCCTGGGGTGACTTGGCAGGGGTGTCCTCTCAGCATAGCTGCTGGTAGGAGGCTATTATCTGGGATTAAAAAATGCCATCCTCTCTACTCCTAAGCATGCAACCTTGATGAAGAAGTTAGCATCCCTCCTGACAAAGATAAGACATTCTGCTGCTGAGTCGGAAGGTGGCCCTGATTTTGAGGAAAAGGGGGTCAAGTTGGGATCTGGTGCACTATTCTGAGTAAATTTCCTTGTAAGAAAGCCTTCTTGGCTGTTCTACAGTGAACATGTGCCCTAGATTTCCTGGAAATTCAAATACTATATTGATCAAACTCCAGTACCAAACCACCAAAAACAAAACAAAACAAAACAAAATCAAATACTATATTGATAGATTTTAGAAGGCTCAATTTAAAAAACATTCTCAAGTAATTTTATTCCTTCCCAACAAAGAAACTCTCTAGAGTTTAATGTTCATGCCTTTGTAAGACTATGGAAATCAGGAGAAAATGTGGTGCTGGGATGTGAGTTTTGGTTTGGAGAACATGGCAGCAATCAGAGGCGAGTTATATCTATCTGGTGAGCCAGACCAAATACAAGTGTGCGTATCTGCCTGGAGCCCTGGCAAGCTGAAGTTTAATACCCTGACATGCTCTCACTGAAGACCCAGTGGGCAAATCTGTCTTTCTGAATGATGCTCTCTTAAAACTTTATCAAAAATATTTTATAGTACGACTATAAAAAGAAAAACAGAAGCCCTTGGCAAATAGTAAAAAGCAAAAGCGATTAAGACCTTAAAGATCTGCCTTGTTCCAGCCTGAAATTATTAGAGCAAGATTCTGCTGCCCACCGACAGCCACATTCCTAAAGGCTGTCATCGTCCTGGTTCTCTAAAGGTTTTATTTTGGGCACATCTTGTCTGAGGCTTCTTAGTGACATGTTACAAGAAAAGATGCTGTTAAGGAGGAGAAGCCACACATGGGAAGATGGCAAGTGTTAATTTCAAACTTACAGTTCTACAGAGCCAATAAAAATAGCAGGGCAAGGGAATCATGTCTGCTTGGTTTGCTGTCAAGTCCAAGGCTTCTGGAGACTGAAGTTGCACTCTCAGAACAAGGATCCAAATGCCTTTACACCTCTACACAGCTCCAATCAGTAAGGAGAAGCAGACTAAATTATGATGTGACATTTTGCAAAAAGGGTGTGTATTTTTTTTAAATAAATTTGTTCATGTGGGTCCCATGCTGGGGTTACTTGCAGGTAAAAAGGTTCCATTGTGTTAACCTGATGTCATCCTGGGTATGTGGGAAGAGCACACGTCCCCATTGTGCACCATGGTGGCCATCACATCCTTTTCTGTAAGCCTGGCTGCCAGTACTTCAGTTCCTTCTTCATGCTGGCACCGAGGCTGGCAGGAGGAGGCTGGGTTGGACAGTGAAGACTGAAGAAGGGTCCTCACCAGGTGTTTAGCAGCAGGAAGTTGGCCTGATCATCTGATAAGACACTTAAAACCATTCTGATGTTGACAACTGCTAAGCCATGCCCCCGTGATCAGTATGCCTAGGGTTACTGCTGGGCCACCTCACTCAAGCACATACTTCAGTGGCTGTCCAGTGGACAAGCCCCAGGCTGTGGGTACAGGGGAGCTTTCAGTTTTTAGTGGTTACAATAAATACTTGTCACCTTCTGTCATGCTCAACATGGACACTGAAAAATGACAAAGCAGATGACTGTCTGTCCCTGCACACAGACCCTGGTCCCTCTGGTCTGTGTCTTCCAACATTGAGCACTGGTGGGAAATACGGTGGTCAGACTCAGAAGAGGTACAAAAGGCAAACCTTTCTCTCAGCTCCCTATAGAAAAAGGCCCTTTAGCATGAAATAGAACAAGGGACAAAGGACAAAGTAGAGCAGGTCCAGGAGCTGTGACTTGGCTCGGCATTGGTAAGAAGCTTTACCTGCAGGCTTTAGTATGCAGTGTAAGTGAGGATCACAAAAAGTATTAAAAAACCCCAATGCCACCCCAACACAGAATAGCATGTGATTATTCAGGGACATGTTTGCAATGCATTATTAACCCCCGGCCCCAGCCTCTTCTCTGCAAATGGCCAGGCTTGTTGGGTACCCATGTTCAGTGGCCGGCTTTGGGCGGGCATTCAGTACCACAAGGCTCACCTGGGCAATAACACTGTCTTCAAAGCCTCACCTTGGGGGAACTTTGCAATTTAACCCTGAACCCCAACCTGTACTTGGAAGTGCTGTCATTCTTCCAAAACGGACGCTGACAGAATACAAAATAAGAAAGGTGATCATAAATCAAATCACAAAAGAAGTGACCCCCAACAGCCCATTTTTTAAAAATCAGGTTTTGTTCTCATCATACATGTCCAAAGAAGGCTCGATTGTGGAGAATTCACTTTCATACACCAGGCTCCGAGGTGACAAGGAGTTCCGGTGAAAGAAGTGACCACCTGAAAAAGAACAAGAAAAACAAACTTAGTGCAGGTCATCAGCTTGCATTTCACACAGGGCTTTAGAGGAGAGAAGGTGGAATATCTTTGAAATGCCACATTTTTTCAGTTGTCTTCTTCATTTTGGCCTCTTAATCATTGCACAAAGGAAAAGAAAGCAGGTATCACTCAATGCAAACTCACTTTGCTGTATTGTGGTGCTGTAGGTTGAACCCAGGACCTCATGTATGGTAGGTAACACTGAGCTATATCCCCAGCCCTGTGAGCACACTTTAAACACACACATCTGTTCCCACGTTTGGATCTCTAAGGGGGTTACCACTGTAGCTGTTCAAAATAGAAGCGGCCTGGTGCTCTTAAAAAGATTCTGAAGACTCCTTTCTAGGGACACATCACAGGAAGAATTTCCTAGCCTACCACTCCTCTCTTGAGCACCTGTTCTGGACCCACCCTTGGGGTGTAGGTGACCACAGCCCTTCACTGCAGACACAGGGATTCTGTGTTGTGATTTTGAGGACCTGCTAATATGTTTAAAAGTCTATATGAAAGTTGTAACTTCACATATTTTAGTTAATTAAGTCCATGTGTTCTTTCTTTATGAAACAGGATCTTGCTATGTACCACAGGCTGGTTTTGACCTTGTGATCCTCCTGCATCAATCTCCTGAGTGTTGGGATTACAGGTGTATGCCATCATGCCTAGTTCTCATGTGTTCTTAAGACCAACAATCTTCAGTTTCCCTTTCTCAGAGAGAACTTCTTTTTGCTGATTCAGTATTTACTTTTATGTCTCTAAATGGACCTATTTTGGTCCTTCCCAATGTTTTTCAGTCTTAAGATTTATTGAGGTCCTACTATGGTAGATTAGAAGTTTATCCTATTTCTACCCACCCTCTCTCCCACATAATTCCCATTCCCCCATACAATTGTATTTTGAAAATTATAAAACACTCAGTGTTTACATTATTTGACTATTTGTGCTACTCAGAACTAAGCCATCCTTATGTTTCCTTTTCTGCACAAACCTGTTTTATTTTTATAGCTTTATTGAGGGAAATCTGCACATGTTTAAGGTGTACAGTTTCAAGAGTTTTAATGTATATACCAATTAAACCTTCACCAGAACCAAGACAATGAACATCCCATCGCCTGCCAATGTTCCCTGATGCATCTTGGTAATCCCTTCCCCTTCTTCCCACCATACTCCTATCACCAGGGAAACGCATTAGTTTACATTGTTCTAGAATTTTATATAAATGGAATCATATAGTATATATTGGCTCTTATAAATAGAGTTGCTGTGAACATTTGTGTGGAGACTGTGTGTAAACATATGCTTCATGTCTCTTGGATAAATACTTAGGAGTGAGATGACTGGGTAGGTATATACTTAATTTTTTTGTGGGGGGGCAGCACTGGGGTTTTGAACTCAGGGCCTTGCATTTGCTGGCAATCTACCACTTGAGCCACACCCCTGCATCATTTTTGCTTTAATTATTTTTCAGGTAGGGCCTCACATTTTTGCTGGGAACTGACCTTATATCTCAATCCTCCTATCTACAGCCTCTTGTGTAGCTGGGATCACAGGCATACACCACCAAACCCAGTTTATTGGTTGAGATGGCGTCTCACTACTTTTTCTAAAGTGCTTATAGCATTTCACACTCCTATCAGCAGTGTATGAAAGTCCCAGTACCTCTACTAATCCCTGATGTGGTCTTTTAAAATTTTGGCTACTGTAGTAGGAGTGTCAGTATCTCCTGTGGTTTAAATTTTCAACTCACTGACTAATGACATGAACATATCTTCATGTACTGATTAGCCAACTACCTTTCTTTACTTCTCTTTTGATGTGTCTGTGTGTGCTGGTGTTGTGATGCTAGGCGAGCACCCTGTCACTAAGCTGCGCCCTCAGCCTTCACTCTCACCTCCAGCCTGTTTAATTTTTTTTTTTTGTGAAGTATTTTACTGATTTTTTTGCCCATTTAAAATAATTGGGTTGTCTTGGTATTATTGAGTGTAAGAGGTTTTTTTTTTTCTTAAAAAAGATTCTAAATGCACGTCCTTTGTCAGACATGTTTGCAGATACTTTCTTCTAGTCCAAGTCATTTTCATAACAATGTCTTTTGAAGAGCAATCTTCAAATTTTAGTAAAATCCAACTTCCTGATTTTTTTCTTCTTATCATCTGTCCTTTTGTGTCAGATTTAAGAAATCTTTGCCAATTCCTGGGTTACTTAGGTTATTTTCCTGTGTGTTCATGTAGAAGTCATATAGTTTTCCTTCTTACATTTAGATGACCTACTTCAAGTAAATTTCTGGAAAACGTCAGGAAATAGGGTTAGAGTTTGGATTTTTTGCATGTGGCTAGCCATTGTTCTATCATCACTTGTTTAAAGGATTACCCTTCCCCATGGGGCTGCCTTGGCAACTCTGTTAAGAATGTATTGACTGTGTGTATAGTGGTCTGTTTCTGGGCACTGTTCTGTTCCAGTAATCCAGGTCTATCTTTACACTGATACCCACTGTCTTGGTTACTGGGGCTTTGCAAGTCTTGATGTTTCGTGGGTTTTTTTGCTCTGAGTTTTGCAATGGAGTGATGGACAGGGAGGAGAGAAAGGCAGTTGCAGAGTACAGACGAGTATTAAATGAGCCTGTGAGTGGTGGAGCCACTCACTTAGTTTTCCTGTGTTAAACACCTTTTTAAATAAAGAGATAAATAACGAAAAGAAAGAACAAAAACATTGTTTGCTATCTGTACAAAGTAGCCCTTTGAGGTCAGGTCCCAAGTCAAATATGAGACATCTGATATCTGACAACTGAGTCTCAGCCCCCAAATGGATCTGTATAATCTAATAGTGCTAAAGAGCGTAAGACTGAAAAAGAAAAGTGCAGGAAGAACTAAAGCCATTAGAAGTGGAAGCAACCTAATGTTTTCTGCTAGGGTATAGATCAGCTGACACCAAACCTTTGGTAATTACCATATCCCCCCCACCCCCAAAAAAAGGTGACAATGGGAGCTAAGCTCAGTGGTAGAGCATTGCTTAGGACTCAGTGGGCTCAATCCCATGCACCAAAAAATAAAGTTAGTAGTTAACTCAGTCATTGTAAACATTAATCAATTTCCTTGCAAAAATGTAGAGCACCACCAGCAACACCCAAGCTGCTGAATTTCATAGAAAGGCATGATGCTGTTTTTGTCAAGGAAGCACACCCTATTTCTTGACCCACTGATTTTGTTATTTGGCTACATAATGTTATTAAGTAAACTCTTAACGGAGGTATGACCTATATACAGATATGTGCACAAATCCTAAGCATGAGACTCAGTGAATTTCCACAAAGAGAACATACCTATAAAACCATCACTGGATCAAGAAGTGGACCACCACAGTGGGTGCAGTGGCCCACATCTATAATCCCAGCTATGCTATGAGGGAGGTGGACATTGGGAGGATTGCAGTTAGAGGCCCACCCCAGCAAAAACTTAGCGTGATGCCATCTCAACCAATAAGCTGGACATGCTGGTGTGCAATTGTAGTCCCAGCTACACAAGAGGTATAGGTAGGAGGGTTGAGGTCCAGGTCAGCCAGGGCAAGAATACAAGACCCTACCTGAAAAATAACTAAGACAAAAAGGAAGGGCTGGAAGGCATGGCTCAAGTGGTAGAACACCTGCCTAGCAAGTGCAAGGCCCTGAGTTCAAACCCCAGCACCACCAAAAAAAAAGTAGATCACCACCAACACCTTACAAATGAAAGTGATACTTCAATCAAAGACAACCTTTCTCCTCCCCCACAGCTTAGCAGTGTCTTTTTCATTTTACATAATTGGAGAAGCGTCTACTTTTTGTCTAGATTCCTTCAGACAGCGTGTTGTGATGTGTGTCACTGATCAGTACTGCATGACATCCCATTGTATGACTGCCACACAGTTGATCCACCTCATCTTTTGCTGTGTATGACTTCCCTTTGGGTACTGCTGCTGGGAATATTTTCATGCCTATCCTGGGCGGCAGTCTTCTTGGGTTATGTGTAGGAGTGGAGGTGCTGGGTGTTGGAGTGTGTCAGTCTACATTCAGCTTTGGGAGACAACGGCAGCTTTCCAAAGTGGCGATACCAATTTTTACTCCCACCAGTAAGTGAGGCTTCCAACTGCTCTGTATCGGTGCTGTTTTCTGTCTTTTTCATTTTAGCACTTCTGGTGAGTGTGTAATGGCATTTCATTGTGGCTTTGATTTATACTCCCCTGAAAACCAAACAGGATGAATATTTTTCTCATATATCTGGTTCACTCTGAAATATCTGTTTATTTCTTTTGCTCATTTTCCAGTCAGGTTGTAAGCATTTTTCTTTTTCTTGGCAGGGTAGAGCTATTCAGCTCAGGCTGGCCTCAAATTTGTGATCTTCCTACCTCAGCCTCCAGTGCTGGGATTACAGATGTGTACCACCAGACACGGCAGTCTTTATCTGAATGAATCCTATATGAATTAGAAGTATTTCTGGAATTCTCTCTCAAAATAGTGCATTCTGATAAACAGAATTTCTTAATTTTAGTGTGGACCAGTTTATCTACTTTATATTTTATGATTATGCTTTTTGGAATCATGTTTAAGGACTCTACCTATCTTTTTGTCAAAAGACAGTCTTTTTTTTTGGTAGGACTGGGGTTTGACTTCAAGAGCTTTGAGCTTGCAAAGCAGGCACTCTACCACTTGAGCTATACCTCCAGTCCATTTTGCTCTGGTTATTTTGAAGATGGGATCTCACTATTTGTCCCAGCTGGCCTCTATCTGTGATCCTCCAGATTTCAGCTTCCAAGTAGCTAGAATTACAGGCATGAGCCACTATCAGTACCTGGCTCAATGAAGATTCCATTTTACCTTTTAGAAGTTTTACTTTTTGCATTGAAGTCTATGATCAATTTCAAGTTAATTCTTGACTATGGAGTGAAGCAGGAATTAAGATTCATTGTCTTTGTGTAGTCAGTAGACCCAGCACCAG